CTGTCGGGTGGGTCGCGGCGGGGGCCGCACACCCTTCCACCCGCATGTCGCTCTTGGCCCCAGGTTGGCCCAGGAATCGCGAACAGCCCCGTGCCCCAATTCCAGGGCCCCCGGCAGGGCTGGACCGCTGCAGCTGCCAGCTTTAGCCCCTCCGCCGGGCCCCACCTGGGCTTGGCTCTAGTGGGTCTAGCATTTGGGGAGTAACACTGGGCAGGAGGGCACACGGTGACTTGGGCTGCACGCTGACCTGCCTGCCGCTCACAACTTGTATAAGCAACTTTTCTCGTGGCCCCAGGAATCTCGGACCAAGAATCTTTTTCTGCCTCCCTTCCACAGCCCTTGCTGAATGGGCTGAGTCTGGGTTCCCCCCATCTCTTGGGTAAGTCGGGGGAGGCCTCAGGCCAGGGCAGCCTCCTGTATTCTCCCAGATCCCACAGTGTCCGGTGCACCCAGGATGGCAGCCAAACTCCGGTTTCCAGGACCGCAGGTGAGCGCACCTTCCTCCCTGCCTTTCCCCTCACCCAGTCAGAAGCTGCTCCCCTCTGGAGCTGAGAGCCCAGCAGCTGATAAAGCCAAGGAGTCCTAGCCCCTCAGAAAGGGTTCTGGGATGCGGACCCATGCCGTTCCCCAGGGAGAGGAGGTATGAGCTCAGCTGGGTTTTTACGGCTGAAGCCAGCTGCCCCATCAGAGGCCAGCTAATGTTGGGTTCATACTGACTACAGTAGGTTTCTGGACCACAGGGCTCGACCAGGCTAGGGCTCCTGTAGCTCAGGCCTCCGCCCAGTGGACGTGGGCCAGGGCAGCAGCGTGTGTTGTTGCAGGAGGAGATGCCGCTGACCTTCCAGGATGTGGCCGTGTATTTCTCTCAGGCGGAGGGACAGCAGCTTGGTCCCCAGCAGCGGGCGCTGTACAGGGATGTGATGCTGGAGAACTACGGGAACGTCGCCTCACTGGGTAAGGGTCTCTGTGCTTGACCTCCTGGTTCACAGTGGGGGGTTGCTAAGGAGCTTAGGGGCTTCTTTGGCTCTTTGGATCCAAAGAAGAGGGTCCTGCCCCTTGTCCCCAGGTACCAGCCTGATCTGTACAGAAAGAACATTCCCATGGGAGAGCCTGCCTTTTTTTTTTTTGTCCTTTTTTAAGACCGGCCACAGTGCTGTGAGCACACCGGTCATCCCCATACAGGATCCAAACCCGTGGCGGGAGCGCCACTGCACTCCCAAGCGCCGCACTCTCCCAAGTGCGCCACGGGCTCGGCCCGGAGACCCTGCCTTGATCCCCATTTCTAGGGACTTCACTCTTGGTTGCCAGTGGCCTCAATGGTGTCCCTCCAGGAGCAGGAGAGCTAATGAGTGAATTCTTCAGCATTCACACTGTCACCCCCTGGCCTCCCCAACCAGCACATGTGTGCACCCACACACCTGCACACAGGGCACTTCTCTCCTGGCCTGGAAAACCCAGCAGGCAGTTTCCTGCCCTAGCTCTGTGGCCACAGCAGCTCATTCAGTGTCCTCACCTCAACAGGATTCCCTATCCCTAAGCCGGAGCTGATCTCCCAGCTGGAGCAAGGACAGGAGCTGTGGGTCCTGGATCTTCTGGGAACTGAGGAACCAGAGGTCTTGAGAAGCTGCCGTACAGGTGAGAGTGGGTGGGAGGCTAACCCAGGAATGTCCTCCCAACCCTGCCTTCAGAGGCCTTGAGTGAAGGGCTGGCCGAGTGATGGTGCTCATATCCACAACCTCCCCCAGGGGCAGTCTGAGACACACACAGCCCCCTGTTCACCTGCAAGCATTTGCTCATGCTTTAAAAGGCTTTGTATCGCTGGTCTGTTTGCTTTACTTTTTTTTTTTTTTTTTAAAAGATGACCAGTAAGGGGATCTTAACCCTTGG